ACATACCGTCACTTGCACCATAATGTAAAAAGTTTTGAGAATTGTTTGCAGAATCAGCAGGACAAAGAACCGGTCGAAATCCTACTGTTAAGAAAGCAACTATAGCGCCCATTATGAGAGCTATAAAACATAAAGTAACCTTTTCTCTCCAAGCCTGTTGAGCTTGTTTGTCAGGAAAACCACCGCATTTGGACAGTAGTATATTTGGAGCCCAAAAAGTAACAATACGAGAAAATAGTACCCATGAGTCGAAAGGTTTACTTTCTTTTTTACCGGGAAGTAAAGGAGCGGCAGGTTGATATCGTTCTGGTCTATTGAGGGTTCTGTTACGCCGAAGCGAGGCTCCATTATTTGGAGGTGCATAATCCGCGTCCATAATACTTTGGTGGTTTTTTGATATGATTTTTTTTTTTTATTTTTTTATTTTTTTTAAATGAAGGAATGAGATAGAAATAAGGACAATATAAAATAAAAATTCGAAGATAGAATATCTGGTAAATGATGGTATATACATTGTAATAAAACTATTTACGTAAAATGGAAATTGTATGCTTGAACTAATTATGTTACATATTGCATAAATAGAAAAAGGGAACTCTGCATATATCTGATGATATATTTAAATATATATATAATTTTATATGTGATGACGAGAATTAGTACAGTAGCCAGGTACAGTAGTACTGTATTAGTTTTACTTGTTTTGTTTGTTCGATCAACAATAAGTAACACGCGTATCACCTTTTATGCATAGAATTTGACGAGATTTCTCCGTCCCAGTCATGCGATTCGAATGATGTAATTTATCTTTCTATATGAATAATCGAAAATTGGATGTTTATTGACTAAATATTTACTATAATTATTTGAATTATCTGTTTTTAAATATTTTTAATAAAAACGATTACTAAAATATCTACTGTGTAACTATGAGAGAATCGTGCCAAGCTTAAACTTTTGTCTGTTCCAAATTAGTAGTCGGTTCCAAATGATCCGACTAATGTCACTCCACATTTATCATGCATATGAAATTCTTAAACCAGACATGGAAAACCCCATATATCTAATATCAGATTATGTATTTTAAAATACTATATATATATCTTTATTAGTGATAAAGTAAAGCGACTTAGCCGAATTTGTCAGCTAGTTGGCTTAGGCAGGCGGCTTAGTCGACTTTTAGACAATTAACGATTTTTTTTTTTTTTTTAAATTCGGCTTATTTTTCTGCTTCATACAGTATCAGATGTAACGATAATAAACAAATTAAAATTTCAATTAATCTAATTATAATCACCAATCAAAATTCAATATTCAGACACAAAAAAAAAAACCGAAAACCAGTAAATTTTATTAATTTCAATTTTCCGAAATTTATTATCTCGGCATCACGGTAATTCATCATAAAATCAATTCATTCATTATCTTGGTATCGATCTTACTTGCATTAAACGTTAAGGCTAATGCCGGATAATCAAGATGGTTTGTTATTATTGGTTAAATGTAATAAATACTGTAATAACGAAGTTTTAAAGGATCAACAGGTTACACGTAAAATATTACCTTCGCTGTGGCGAACTCAATTATATACAACTCCAAAACAATTAAAAATCTTTATTATTATGCGATGTAAGGAGATTCCTTATAATGCTATAATAGACCAATTGTTCCAACTGAAATGATCTATTATACATTAATGAAGATAAACTGTATATTGGACTACTGTGCAGTATTAAAAAACACCATTTTTTTAAGCTACGTAACAGGATGTCGTATACAATATATATATACAGTATATTTAAATGCTTGCTAAAATAATTTATAATTTATAATTATGAAAAATTAATACAACTAAATTAATTTAATATATACAATTTGATAGCTTTTTTTTTGTACAGATTTAGTATATTTTAATTTAGAATTATTACTATTATTATTATTTGTTTAGTCATATATATACTAAGATTTTTTGTTAAGCATAATAATTATAGTACACTTATTATAGTAAATAATATCATGTTCAAAGCTTCAAGTCTAATAAGGTAACAAATTATTCTCAAAACCCGGCCGAAAAATTGCATAATTAACCAATTATGGTAAATTATATAAATGTATAAATATGTACTAATTTTCATATGATGGAGACGCGTTATACAATATACACACACAAACGCCTCATATTGAACGAGCAGTTTTATTTCAATACATTTAGCGTTAGAGAGTCAGTGGCCATTAAATCACTTTTGGATATTAATTGATAAACTCTCGCCTGTACCTATAAAAAAAAAAAATTACGAAAAAAAATTTAAATATTCTGAATTTTTTTTTAATTTATTATAGAGTGACAAACTATTTGAGCGGGTAATTTCTATTTTCATTAAGATCATTGTCATTACATTTAATTACATTTAATTACATTTGAATATCGTCAAGAGAACCGTTTTATGCTATTATATAAAAAAATTCTATTTTTGGGGATACTCATTAATGTAGCGGAGATACTTAATAAATATTCATCTTTTACTATAAAAAATCAGAATCTGACATAATGAAAAATAATGTAATTCATTATATCTTCAGATTTATCGCGCTTTTCGGCTAATTTTAGCATGACCGGGTCATTTTCTTATTTTTCAAATGATTTCAAATGACTAATGACCAAATAATTCGAGTCATTTATGTAAATAACTGTATCATTTGGATCATTTGGTCATTTATGAATAATCTGTGTCATCTGGATCATTTGGTCATTTATAAATAATCTGTGTCATTTGGATCATTTGATCATTTATAACAATAATAAATAAATATATAACATATTAGTAGATTTCAATTATTGTAATATGGATTTGTTCAAACATTTTAAAATTTTAAATCTTATACGTATCTGATCTGATTTTATTTGCTCTAAATCGAAAAGAAAGGAAATTTCGATTCATCTGATTGGATCGCAGTTTCACATATCGCATTTGTAGTAGTTCGTAAGATGTAATTAACATACACACATGTAGATGCATTAAAAGTGCAATAGTAAAAATCCGATTTTTAAACATTTAAGTGAATACCTTAACATTTTTTTCATCGAAATTTATCAGGCTAATTACAGTAAATTACAGTAAATTAGTAGAAATCAAGCAGATTGACGTTTAAAAAAAAATTGATATCATATCTCAATGAATTTTGTGGCTAACTTGCTGAATTAATATTTAAGAGGAAGTCTAGATCTTAAGCTTTCTTTTAAATGTTAATTTATCAAGATATAAGTCATGAATATTAAGGTATTAATTTTTTTAAAATATCAATTTGCTTGATTTTTATTATATAACAGCAATCCAAATAATAATTTATTGAATATTCAGATATAATAATAAACATGCTAATGTTTATTAATTATTATTTATAAATTTTTCATTACCGATTTTAAATTATATCTTAACAAAAAAAAAAATTTTGGCTACAAAATAATCATACACCATTCATAGTTTTTGATTATATTTATTCAATCATTATTACAGTATACGTAACAATTAACCGACTATACTGCGCAGTATAAAAATATAACATATAACCCAATTTTGCATCGTTATCGGCTAATTTTATGTTACACTTATATGAAACTAGTGTTGTGCAGGGTTGTAAAATAATTTTGGTACGAAAGTATCCATATATTTTTGTTCTACTATCACGAACCTTTCCGCACTTTTCAAACAAACTTATTGACCGGTAGTAGTAATTTTGGTCATGTGAATGATGTTTTGTTGGCCAAACTTTACATAAAATTATTTTATTGAACAACCTATTATTACCAATCTAAATGCACGTTAAAATAGGTGTAAAGTATTTATAGTACTGTTTATGTTGTAAAACAGAACTAAAATTGACAATAATTTAAACACCATTTTCCACTTAATACATAAACAAGAACATAATTATTTAGGAAACGCCAAACGGTGAAATTTTCATATCATCTGAATTTTATTGCACGTTTCAAAATACATAGAGATGGGCGAGATAATAAAAATTATTAATTATTATTATTATATATATATATATTTTTTTTTTACCCCTTACCTATTTTATGGATTTTTATGGATTATTACTTATTTTATACTAATTATTGCTTGATTATTACTTATTACGATTCACAATTCAATCTGAAAGATATAAATTGAAAAAAATCTGGTCTAACCAACTTTTTTTATTTATCAGTAATTATTAATTAATATATATATAAATAAATAAACAATTGGTCTATTTCCATTTTCAAATTAGTGTGATAATCTGGAAATAATATCATGTCGAAATACAAGCCTGTGATTGGTTAAAATTATATTATTTAATATTAATTTTTTACGTATACGTACCCGTATTTTTTTTTAAATGGGTGCTGGGAAAAAGGTAAATTTAACAAAAAAAATAATATGTACGTACATACAAAAAATTATTAAAAATCATATCTGATATGATTCAGAATGAGATAATTAATCCCCGTGATCTTGGCATAGAAGGGTGATTCAGAATTAACTTATTTCTAAATAAATGAGAGTTAAATATTCTCATTTCTATTTTTAGATTCCGAAATCAGAAAACGAAATATAAATTATGTATTTTTCTGATGAAATATTATCATCATATAAAAAAAGATAGAATTTATAAATCATTATTTCAAAATAAATACTGTATGTCACTAATTTAATTCGAAATCAGAAACCTGAACACTAATTATATAATACGTATACCTATATTATAAGATTAGTATATATTAAAGTTATTATTTGATTTTTTGTAAAGCTACGAATATATAATACTGTAATAATATATATATAATTATTATTAAAATTTATAATTTATGTACAATTCTTTTATATAAAATATAAGTTAATATAGTGCTTTTTTAAATAATATATATTACTGTAAAATACTGTTAATAAAAAATATCTAAATACTCTAATTTAGCTTTTTTAAATAATTTTTTTGAAAATTAGGTTGCATTTCATCCTTCATCCTTCATCCCATAAGCCATCATTCCCATTGATTATTGCAGTGTTGTTTGTATTAGCAATTATTCCACCTCCTGATGTTGTATTAGTTGGTGACATCATTATAATTGGATCAATTATTCGTAATTCTTCCTTGAGATTATTACGAGCTAATGTATCTACTTCTTTCGATACTTGAGAAATTATTTTCTGAAATCAAATATATATATATTAATAATTATTAATAATGATTCGCAAATACTGTGTATAAAATCTGTGTAAAATTTTTACGAAATAAAATTCATATATGAAAATATGTTGTTATAATTATTTAATATATATATTTTTTTCTACCTTAAATTTTCCATCAACTTTTAGTACACTTTCTATAAAATTGGGTGCCACTATGTTATTAGTCCCTATCAGCAGTTTGTTATATACTTCCACAAGCATGTCGCATAATGTATAGAATGTCTGAAAATAATCCAAATCGAAAGGCTGTAGAAAATAAAATAATAAATTTTTAGATATTGATATACTGCAAAATTTATAGAAAATATTAAAATTCTGCTTACTATATTTGGCACAAAAAGATATGTATATTCCCCACTTTCCTGAAATGATGAGTCCTCGTGTTTTGTTATTTTGGATTTTCTAAAAAATATTTTCTTCATGATAGATGTTTTAAGAATTGTTAGTCTTATTCAACTAAATTAGCGATGTAAACCAAACCCGAATGGGACAATTACGACTTTCTACCTAATTTGGGTTTGGGTCGACTATTGTTGTAATTCCGATCCCAATACAAAACCCAATACAAAACCCAATACAAACCCCAATACAAAACCCAAACCAGTGGCCCATTCATTTTTGCATATCCCATCATATCTACGAAATAAACATTAAACAAATATGGCGCATGTGATAGTGCAGGGGAATTATTTTCACTGTTGTGGAAATAATTCTCCTGCATCACAATTTATTTGCCTTATGATTCGCGCTCTAGCCAGCGATACATAAATTTTTGTTTACAACACAGCTTACGACATAATTGTCGAATCTAGTATAGAGCTGTTACCCGGGTTGGCCTGACCCGTACGGGTCACAGGTCAGAAACTGCTTTGACCCGGGTTAAATGGGTCAGTTAAATGGACTGATAAATTGTAATGAACCGGTTTTTCCGATGTAGAAAATGAATGATCTCAAATTACGAACAAGGATGAAAAGTTTTTTTTGATACAAAACCCGAGAAGTTCCGATTTAATGTTTATATCTCAAATATGCCAATATAAATTATTGCACGGATCTTACGTGACCACCCGTGCTTTTTTCATTTACTTATTGGCACGGGATTGTTATATCAAACACCGTGCAATAAGGTAGTTATTGTCTGGGTATATTGAATAACCCAATTACACACACGGAATATGAACCCGTGTGTAACTGGGTTATTCACTACATACCTATACAATAACTATAAATTATCAAGCTTGATCTATCTATTAAAACCTTCGGGAATCTACTAAATCTCAAACTATCGGGTTTGGGTTTACATCGCCTCGCTAAACTAAATGCACGAATTAATGTGTATTATGTTTACCATTTTTTGTTTAGAGTGATCATTGGTGTGATATTCAAATTCTTGTAGCATCACATTCAAGGCTTTGACGTAGTCTTGTGGATTACTAATATCAAGTATTGATGCCAATGAGCAGCCAAGAATAAAAAAGTTTCCTGTACTATAAAATAAACATAATAAGTATAATAAGTCAAAATTCAGTGTTTAATATCTAATGTTCCCAGTGTTCCCAAGAACATTTAAAAAAAAAAATTAGGAGCAATAGATTTAAAAATTATGTTCCCGTTTAGAAACAAACAGGGAACATAAAATCTATAATTTATGTTCCTATAGAAAAATTAATATATATATAATTTAGACCGGGGAGTATAATGCTGGGCAGAATTAAGAAATAGAAATGCAAAATTTCCGAAAACTTCCGAAAAGAAAATGAATGAATGAACATAAAAAACGAGAAGGGTCAGAGCAAATATCCGATAATTTCCGAGGGAAAATATAAAAGAAAGGGAGAGAAAAATTTTATTAACAAGAACTTTAAATTTCTAAACTTATGTTCTCAGGGAACAAAAAAAAACTTTTCAGATATCTTTCACTGATTGTAACGCTGAAATGATATAATTGATTTTACCGTTTCTTCATTCTGGCATTTTCGTACATCGATCCTAAATCTTCTTTGCTTAAACATACTGTGTTAAACCAATGTATCCTTCCCTCATGAACTCGTTTCAAATATGAAAAAGTCGTTATACGTTTTTGCACAAGCTCATATAAAAAGTCATATGAAGACGTGGTTCCAGTGTGATCTGAAGAGTTTGAAGGTGAACGAGGACTTGGTGTTGGAAAGTGTGCGGCTGGTAAAATTGTATTCGCAGTGGCGTTCGGTGTTAGGGCATTTGCAACGTTTGAATTTGCTGTTTTGTCCATGCGCGTATAGTTGTTAGACGAAACCTTTTTTTGCTTGATGATGAAAGTCGGAAACCTAAGCTCTAAATGACGAAACCTCTGTCGAAAGTCGAAACCTCAAATCCTTCTGACGAAAGTCGAAACCCCAAACTTAAAATGACAAACCCTAGTGCTCCCACTAAAAAAAAATTATATTTAAACAAAACAATGATATATTATTGAGGCTTTTTAGGCTTTTTATTTATATTTCTGTGTTTAAATTCTGTGGTTCACAGAAAATCACCGTTCTTGGACTAGTGTAATTTTAATCCATCTTGATTGTAATACAAATATCGATATAAAGTATTTAAAATCATCGCGTGGTTTAAGGTCACGATTTTGATATATAACAATTCAGAAATCAAAAAATAATCACCACAAAGTGTTGGAGAAACTAACAATTATAACAACGTTACTGGCGCTACTAGTTCTAGTATCGCTGATTGTATAGAACTATTCGATGATAATGAAAAACAAATCAAAATGTGAATGATCTGAGAATTGAAAGTATAGAACTAGACGCGAGATATAGAGATTATGTCTTGTACTGTACGGTATGGTTCGGCTTTAAAAAGCGTGTACTGTACGGTATAATAATGATACATATATTTTTTTTAACCTTGACGTGTGATGCGCAATCGAGGGCAGTGATCTAAGTCATAACATTTTTCTAGATCTTGGTCATATAATCATATGACTTTTGGTCATAGTTAGGGTTTGGGGCACGCTTTAAAAATTAGGCATGCCCTGGGTTGAGGGCATGCCCTTTTATACTCATGTGATAATAGACTAATTATAAATGTAAAAACAATAATCGTGGCAGATTATAATGAAATCGGATTAAAATGAAATGAGGGTTTCTATTTAACCCTCTAAAACCTACCTACTGTATACTTGTTTATTATAAATTTTATCCTAAAACTAACCTCTAACCCTAACCCCTAACCCTAAAAAATGCATCTCAAAAATTTTCATTTTTTGGTGACTTGTCTATTTTTTATATTGTATAATATTTTATTTTAATCCAATTTTTTTTTTTTTTTTTTTTTTTTTTTAAATATTGAGGTGAGTACTTAGACCCTTAATGCTTTATATATTAGTACTGAATGTAATGCTTAGCACAAACTAAGCCATGATACATTTATATTGTGAGAGTACAACTAGCCACATGTATAACTTTTGATTGCTTATTTAAGTAGTCTGCCCTAAGGTTTTATACTAGTTACTATATCTATAATTTGCTAGAAGATTACCTGTTTAAACCCTCTGACCCTATATCTGTACTATGATTATGGCTGTAAACCAAACCCGGTAATTTGGGACTTAGTAGAATCCCAAAGGTTTTTACTAGATTCTACAATTGTGCCGTAACCCAAACTATATTTGGGACAAGTCGAATGGGATATCACATGATGTTAATATAATTGGTAAATTACAAGATTATCATTAATAAGATCGTTGGTTGTTGACTCACGTATCCTATTTATGACCTCTGAAGCATACTTAACAGAAGTTAAATGCCACTCTATACAGAGAAATTACGTTTCGGGAGGTAATTTTGTTATTCTTTAAATTATTTGAGTGCTGCTAAATTGAAACCCGAAAGTGAATTTTCAAGTTTTCAGTATAGCAAACTGTGATAATTATAGTTTTCAGGGTTAAGCTCGCTATGGCGAAAACTTAAAATATTAACTTTCTGGCTTTAACTTGGCAGCATTCATATCGGTTTTAAACTTGAACATTAGCTAACATTTTGAGGTTCTGATTCTGCATTTAAGGTTCTTTTCACATTTGAAAGCGAAAGAATATATAGTTTAATTTGTATTTTATGAGAAATTTTAGCAAAATTGAGCAAAAGATTGGCTAGTGAGGTCGTAGTGATAACAGTTATAATTTAATAGTAAAGACCATTTAAAGAGTAATTGAATTAAATTTTTGCTATGGTAACTCAGAATACCAATATATGATATTTTATTTTTATCATCAATGTTATAATATGAAATAACATTGTAGTAATGAAAATTTTTATTTATAAGAGTAAAAAAACGTCAAGCTCTAATAAATAACTTTTTGGACAGATTGTTGATAATAAATCACGATCCATCTCTGCAGACTCTTGATAATAAACAAATTAATCCAATTTGATTTCGATAATGAGCATGATTCATACCAGTATTTTTTTAAAAAAATACCATTTTATGTTAATACGGTTCAACTCTAACCCTATTTTGATAACAGCAGCATTAGATGTCTTATCAACATGTTTATACCAAAGAATTTTTTTTAACGATATTAAATGAGTATCTTACATTTATATCTTTTTTAATGACTAATAGCCAATGTTGGATATTCTACCTTGTACGCTTTATATATATATATATATATATATTTTTATTTTTTTTTTTTTTTTTCTTTTTCTTTTCTTTTTTTTTTCTTTCTTTTTTTTTAATGAATATCTTATGTTCATATTTCGAGCCTAATTTGTTATGATAACAATTACAACGTTAGAAAATAATATGAAATATTTTTATTTATGATAATAAAATCTCATAATATTTATAATAAATCATCATTAACAAATTGAAATTCTCTTTCTACGATTGCTACAGGATCGAATTCCATATTACCACTTCTTTGTGTTGTATGAGATAATTCTTTGGCATTACCTTGTCCACCAAAATTTGCATGTGAAAAATCGACTATTAGGCCGATTGCAAGTTTGTCATTATTTGATTGAGCAGATTCCAAAACATCTTCATTTTGTTCTGGTTCTATACTATTATTTTCCATATTAGCATAAGTAGTTAAAGCTAATACACTATCGCGTAGTTCACTTTCAGATAACTCTTTTCCATAATAATGAAGTTCATTTTTAAGGTTAGAAATATAAAAAGAATGAATTTGAGCCATACTTTCGATTTTTTCTGGAGACAAACATGTTCGATAGGTGCCGTATAACCATCTTAAAATAGAGAAATTACGTTCACAACTTGCCTGCAATGGTACAATCGCAAAAATAGCTGTTGCAAGATTCTTGAGATAGGGGTAATCATCCTCTATTACACCCCACCATAAACTGGGTGTTTTAGATGAATCGTAGCCAAAGTCGAATGGATAATCTCCGCTTTTATAACTAATTAATTGTGTAGTAAGTATTCCACATGCAATATCATCATTGTGTATACTTTTATAGAATTTGGCAGCTATTTCACAAATTCGTCGGAACATTCCTTTATGTAGACCAAGACCTATATATATATTTAATTAAAAATATATATAAATAAATTGATACGTACTGTAAATAAATAAATAAAATGATTCTACGTAATTATTATCTGATAAAGTTCACTCAGGTTTTTTAATTCATATATCTTTTATTTATTGTTATAGATTGACCGTTAATTAAGTAGATGATCAACGTTAAATACTGAATACAAGATACATGGCTTTTGATATAAAGAATATGTATCTTAATACGTATAAAGTTAATCTATACCATATTGGCCAATAAAAAGCCCAAGAATTAAACTTTTTAAGATAGATAATGAATTTTCTATAAAACTAGTTTAAACTTGAAAGTTGATACATACCTCTATAACCCGGATGAAGAAGATAGGCAAGCAAATACGGTTCAATATCATATTCAGTATAACGTTTATTAAATATTTTGATAGCTGATTCACGAAAAGCATTATTCAAAGGAATTTTGTTGATAGCTGCGGCTAATTTTACTATACTAACAAAGCAATTAGCAAGATTTGCAGTACGTGCTTCCAGGTTATGTATTGCTTCTTTAATAGGTTGGATTATAGATGCTATTCGACAACAATTTGTATAAAATATATCATCATCATCGTTTAATAATGAAATAATAGCTTGTTGACTAATTACATCACGATTTTCATCTAAGATCTAAATTAAAAAAATATATATATATCGTTAAAGTAATTAAAGTCAAATATCAATATATTGTCCATACATATGTATGTACGTACCTTATCAAAAACAGGCTTTAGTCTTACAATAGAAGACATAGTTCCAAAAATAGAAGTCCATCTTGTTTTAACATACATTTCTAAACCACCGCCACCTAATTTCATACTTTTAATATTATCACAAAGAAGTCGATTTGCCCTATGTGACCTTTTAAAGAATTGAACAATTTGATTTGCTTGCTTTAAAACATGATCAACGGACCTAACTTTTACTATATCACTTGCAATAAGATTTAATGCATGAGCGATACATCTGATATTCCAAATATGTGAATAATTATATGTAGTAATTTCACGAGCAACACGGATATTACTTCCGTTATCTGTTACACAAGCTATAAATTTACTAGAGCCAATTTTATCAACAACATTCGAAATTTTAGAGGCGAGAAATTCACCCGTTTGTACCATATCAGAAAAATCTAAAATTGAGTACAAATATTCTTTACGATTCGAAGTAGAGACAATAAAATTATATAACGAGTCATTGGCGGGGATTGACCATCCATCAAGTGCTAAAGTTAAGTTTTCTGCTTTGTCAAGTAAACTATCCATTCATATTGTTATACGGGCTGCTTCCTCATCAAGTATTCGTTCTGATAATGTAACTCTTCCAAGAGGAACCCACCCTGGCTTAAGTAGATGAAGAAGATCGCGAACAAATGGATTATCAATTACAGAGAATGCAATTCCTGCACAAACAAAAGCTTTAAGTAAAGCTTTATTAATTTCATTAATTCTTTCACTTGATATAGGTTTACAATATGAACGTGGCTTTGTTGATGATATACTTTCATTATCACTGTCATCATTTGTTATTTTGTCATTTCGCTTAGCTACTTTAATTAAATAATGACGCCTTAAATTATCAGGAACATCGCCTTTGCAATGTAGAGCTAAGTGGGACTCCATAGTTGCAGGCCTTCCACGTTTCCATTTTCCTTGAACACAGTACCGACATTGAGCACCATAGTGACCTTTGCCATC